TCCACTAGTGGTCTATTGATAATCAAAAAGTAAATTAGAAAGGAATGGTGCCTTCATGGGTTATAGTAAAGAAAGAAAAAATGTGAAACAATAATACACAAAACAAAGCATGCATAAGCAAGAGGAGTATCAATTAGCTGGGTGACAGAAAGTTGGTCTGGTCAGTAAATTGCTTCCCAGAGTACCCTGATCGGTATGTTTGTTAGCACATAATTACGTGCAAGTGGCTCTAAAACAGCCAAGATACAATTATTAGTAAGATACTCAGACAGGGTGATCCAATGCTGTTGAGTCCGAGGTCTGAGTCAAAAACCAGTAAATGAGTTATGTAGGGTATAGTGTTTCAACCGCAAACCACAACAAAAATTCTCATTAATGAGAAAAGGACAATGGTGTTGTCTAAGATAGTATCAATATGTCGAGCCCGACGCGCGTTTCGCCTTAATTCAGAGGCTCATCAGGGGGAAATGACTCCCTCCCGAAGTTAATCTTAAATAACCCGCCCTTCAACCTGATTGGTCCGATTTCGGTTGGTGGGTGTGTACACAAGTACGGCCGCTCAATGGAGACAAAGCTATAGCTGTAATAGAGTATTATGATAAGGAAACATGTCACATCGATTATGTTTTGTTTTATATAGAGTAAATTCAGTCATATAGTTAATCTGTCGGTGAATAAAGTAAATTTAAGGTAACATATACTGAGTTGAAACAGCTCATATCGATAGGAACACGGATAAATAACAGAGGTGTGACAGTCTGTCATGACATTGACAAATCTTCTATGTGAGCAGTCTGACAGCATGTCCTGGCATGGATATCTAGCCTACTAGCTGGAATGTAGAGCCAATGATGTATCATAGAGAAGAGAATATATCTTCTATGGATAATTAGTGTTCTATGGTAGATAAAGACATGCTTATCTGAGAGTGTGTGTGTGTATATATTTATATATTTATATATATATATATATATATATATATATATATATATATATATATTTATATTTAAGGCAGGTCACGATGATATTTGCAATGTGGGCCTTCTTCCAGTTGTTTATATAATTCACACGCAAAATTCCTGATCCTTCTCTATCATAGTTTGGAATTGATAAATGGTAACTATGGGGATTTATATACTCAACTGATAACTGTAATAAGTTGAAATATTGAGGCCAAGATAGCTGGACTTTTTTTCTTGTTTGTTTTTTTTCGCTTTTTTAATTTGTGCAATCACCTTATCAGTACTGTATAAAATAACAGGTTCGTTGAATAAACCTCTATCTCTCTTCAATTCACCTTTTGTCTTGTTTCTCTTAGAACACTGCTCACCTGGACCAGTTTGAACGCATTAAGACTCTGGGCACAGGTTCATTTGGTCGAGTGATGCTCGTCAGACACAAAGAAAATGGCCATCATTATGCCATGAAGATCCTGGACAAGCAGAAGGTAAAGGCCACAACGATATGTGTTTTGTTGTCACTAGAACTGTGACTGGTTACCTGGGTGCTTAAGGGAGTACACTAGAACTAAATATATAGTTGATAATTTAGATTTTGGAATCCCCCTTTCCCCACCAGTGTCCTAAAATAGGGGTTACTTACCTCTAGGCCAGCGGTAAACTGTTCTGCTACCAATAAATTCTCACTAGTGAGGGATCTCCCAGGCCAATTTAATACTTTTCAGAAAATTGGATCAATTGCCGAACAGTGTTGTTAATGGTGCTTCTCATTGTTTTTATGAGAAGCATTGCCTTGTGCATTGTGAGCAAGTTAAAGCACTATCCATTGAAGTGCCAGGATGTACATTTATCACTAACCTCCGCAGCTCACCAAATCTGAGTAAGTGGCCCGGTACTGAATGATGGCAAGAAGGCAACCGTTAGTAGAGTATTGTATCCTGCTGCTACATCCTGGAAGGAAGCTACAGCAACTATGTGTGCAATATCTCTAGCATTCTAGCTATGGCAAAACATGTAAATTCATAAATAAAGGTTAGGAGTTAATGGGTTGGGGGGCTTGAGAAGTCCATAAACCACTGTTCCTTGACTCTTGAAACCTCTAGATGGCACTATATCTCCATAACCACACTGCTCTGCTAACTGTAAAAAAATTCAAAATAATTTAATTGAGCTTAACCCCTTAAGGACACATGACATGTGTGACTTGTCATGATTCCCTTTTATTCCAGAAGTTTGGTCCTTAAGGGGTTAAAAGACCATAATGCATGTAAATGAGATTTTCTTGTGCAATAATGGAAATTGAATAAGCCACTGTCTACTTCCAGGTGGTTAAATTGAAGCAGATTGAGCATACGTTGAATGAAAAGCGCATCTTGCAGGCTGTAAATTTCCCATTCCTTGTCCGCCTGGAGTATTCATTCAAGGTAAGTGGTATTGTGTGTGTGTGTGTGTGTGTGTGTGTGTGTGTGTGTGTGTGGCGTGCGCGCATTATGATCTAAACAATATCTATCAATAGCATAGTCACCATATGCTGTAGGCTGTGGTCTCTCTTTTAACACATTGAATTAACCCACCCCCCTGACCCACCTCCAAATGTGCTGCATTCATTTTGTTCTTTATTCTGTCACTTCTACTTCATATATTTTTCTCAATCAGGATAACACTAACCTATACATGGTCATGGAGTATGTAGCCGGTGGCGAGATGTTCTCTCACTTGCGTAGAATCGGACGCTTCAGGTAAATACCGTCAGATGCAGTAAAACCTGTGCTAGATGAAATACTCTATTGTAAATGTGTGTGGCCGATAGCTGTGATTTTACATTTTAACCACAATTCTTCCTGCACAGAGTGTTGGTCAATAGTCTCTTTACAGAATAGAATGTTATGGTAACAAGTGCAGCAGACAGTGTAACATCCTCTTTTCACCTTAGACTAGTAATATAGTGTATTCATTGTTCTCCTTCCCTGGTGCAATTATTATTATTATTATTATTATTATTATTATTATTATTATGACGACGACGACGATATTTATAGAGCTCCGTCCAATTCCGCAGCACTTTACAATGGGTGGACGAACAGATATGTAGTTGTAACCAGACAAGTTGGACACACAGGAACAGAGGGGTTGAGGGCCCTGCTCAATGAGCTTACATGCTAGAGGGAGTGGGGTAAAATGACACAAAAAGGTAAGGATAGTATTAGACTAGTGACCGTTGCAGAAGAGGAATCAGTCAGGAACTATTAACAGTTTAATTGATACGCTTTTATGAAGAAGTGGAGACTGGGTGAGCACCTGGCAAAGTTTAATTATACTGTATGAGAAGGGATCTCAATGTTATTGGCAAGGCTTAAACATTACTTGCCACTGCAAGTGTCCGTGGCACACTCACCAGGGGTGAATTTCTACATGCCAGTACCTAGTGGAGAGTGGAAATTTTGCGCCATGGCGGTAACCTCATTCTCCCTGAGTAATAAGACAGGTGATACCTTGTTGAGTTTAGTATTACAGGTATCTTTTGTTCTCCCTACGTAATGCAGCAGCGAAGATACACTATGCAGAGTTTGGGTTATATTGTTTTTCCCTTATATTGGAATAGTTGGATGTGTGACAGCATAGATTAAATGTTCAGAGCTTGGTAGTATAGTGTTCTCCTGTACTATAGGCAATTTAAGTGCTGAGATTCACTTTGTTCCTCTCCTTGTGGATTTGACAGCTTTACCACTCTTAAACAGTAAACACCTAGTAACAGGTGACTTATTTCTGTGCTCCAAACAGGGACACGATAAGTGGCTTTCCTCCCCCCTTTCATATTATTACTGCTCTCTCTACCTGTGATGAAGACACGGCAATAGCTAGGCACCTTTGTTTGTCCATATGTTAAGCAGGTGACTGGAAACATCTATCCACTGAGGATGAAGTGCAAGTCAATGTGACTGATTGTAACCAATTATATCTCTATTTCCACATACCCTTCCCATGAAATGTTAATGCTTTTCTTTGCTTCTCTATAGAAATGGTATAGAAAAGTAACTGCTGTATTTTTATCCAAGTGATCATATAAACTGTTCAAACAGGCCCAGCATGCTAAATAATAATAGAGCGCTTTTTCCCATCCCAGATACATCCCTTCAAAATGCCATAAACGTTATTAAATTGCCAAATTCTGCTGGTACTTAAAGGAACATTATAGGTTAAGGAATACAAATGGTGTATTCCAAACAATATTATGGCCTAGTCACCATTTAGGTGACAGTCCCCCACCCCCTCAAGGATTAATGAGGTAGTTTACTTCATTTTAATCCTGATCTCAGCCAATGTAATGTTTTCCCATAGGATAGCATGGGGAGGCTAGTGCACGTGCCTGGTAAAATGCCTCGCTGCGCTAATCAGATGGTCTCTAGAGGCATTTCAACTGTGCAATGTAAGTATTGCCTTTCCTCCAGAATGGTTACAGGTTTAAAAATATTGGGACATGGCACCCAGGTCACTTCATCTCCGTGAAGTGGTCTGGGAGCTTATGGTGTCCCTCTAAAGACACAGAAGGGCAGATTGAGCCTCCCCCCAATTAACATACCCTTAATTGGTTTTATGTTCCCGTCCCTGGAAGTTTATTTTATAATTGTCTATTTCAAAACAAAACTGAACTTATAAAACGCCCTTTCATTTTTTATTTATAAAAGATAAAGACTTGAATCTTCTCATATTGCAATGTACTTCTTTGACCCACTCACCCAGCTGCTGTGAGATCCATGTAACCAGGAAGTGGTTTAGCCAGTTTGGGAGTATAGTTCTATTCAGTGGAGTCTTGACATATCCCATAAACTCATACCAGGCAGGGATTTATGGGAAATGTTTTATAGTGTCAAGCAATCTTATGATTGATGCCAATGCTATGTAAGAACTGCGAAATAAATCCTGCATAATGAATGGTTCCTCAGCTACGGAATTTTGTGTGAACAGAGCAGTACATTCTAAATGTCAGGCCCCCTTTAAGTTGCATAATCCTATTGGACAGGGAAGAGAAGATGGTTGTTTGACCTACCTTGATGATACATGTTTCGTAAGGATGTCCAATTGAAAATAATTTCTCTCCATTTTAACTAGAATAACTACTGAACAGATTTTACAAAAATTAAATGCAGCAAGATGTCTTGTAGCACTATATTAGACCCCCAAGAAATGTTCTGATGACCGCTACATTAACTATCCTCAGTCAGGGATTACATAGTATTTTAGTTCTGCTTGTTTTCTCTACTCAACAGGAAGATGTACATAGTGTCTGAGTCAGCACAGATTGGGAAGGGGGTTCTTTGTGCTTCATTCACAGCTGGGCTTTTCTTTCTCACCGGGAAGGAGTATGTTGTATTTCATTCACAGCTAGCGTTCTTGCACACTGGGAAGGATTACATTGCGTTTGCCACAAGTGTTCTTCTGTAGCATGCCAGGGAAGGGGTTATTCTAGTATTTTATATATCACAGTTTGCAGTCTCACACAGCAGTCTCAACTTGGTTTCTCATGTGCATCCATTAGGATAATTAGGGATGTGGTCTCACACACTCATTTGGGCAATAGGTGTGAAAGGAATGGTCTGGGCACACCTGGTGGTTTCTTTAGTAGACCGTCTTTATTTATTTTTTTTTGCACTCCACATAAAGACTGCCGACCAAAAAAACCACCAGGTGTTCCCAGACCATTCCTTTCACTGCTATTGCTACGTGGGACATTGGTCCCACCCGGGTTGGCGCATCCTGCTGGAAGTATTCCCAGAGTAATTGATGTTTCCATATTCTCTCAAAACACAGAACACACGCATTGGGGCAGTCAGGAATGTGGTTTTGTGCAGCTGGTGGGGTAGTCAGGGCTGAGTTATATACTTATTATGGGGTACAGGTGGGATTGGGGGGCACTCTCTGCCCCCACCCCGGCTGGAGTTTCACATACTTTGGAGAATGGTCAACCACTGCCCTTTTATTTCACATGAAAGTAATGGGCTCTTTCATTCACAACCCTGTTTCTCTCCCAATACACTGGGAAGGACTGTACGGCATTTTGATTAGTTGACCTGCTGCACACATTAGGGTTAGTTACTTTTATTTCAGTGGCATCTGTGCTTCCTCTTACTTCATGAGTGGACACGTTTCTTGTAGACTGGTACTGATATTCTGTTTATGTATTTTATCCAGTCTTTGATCTGTATGATGCAGGCCCATCATGCTAATTAGACAATTCTTCTGTCATGTCATGACTGTGCTTTTTGTCGCTTTGTCCTCACAGTGAACCTCATGCACGTTTCTATGCATCTCAGATTGTATTAACCTTTGAATATCTGCACTCCTTGGATCTTATATACCGAGACCTAAAGCCAGAAAATCTGCTCATAGACCAGCAGGGATACATACAGGTAACCTGGACTTGGGACGAGGGCAGGGACGTAATTATAGATCTTTTCATGATGCATGCAATTTCAAAACTCAAATGTGGACTTATGAGTTATACATTATCCACACTTCCATGTGTAACATACATGAACAGCAAATCATGTAATGGATATCAGTGTCATTTTAGAAATGTACTCAAGCTGAGCCATCATTTTGGTAAAAGTAATAGACAGCTGTAATGTTGATGTTGGTCATCTTTGTGCATGTTGAATTCAAACTGGTCACATAATTTGTACCACAGCTAGCCCTACACATTACTTTCCCTGTTCTGAAAACTTTTCTGAGCTCTTTTTAAAGTGGTAGACACACATTTAAAAAGCTTTTCTAGTGGATACCTATGTAAAGGGGTATAAACCATGTGAAAGGATTTTTTTCCTCAAGCTGTGGTTGCAGTGTTTATACATTTTAGAGTGTATAACTAGCCCATCTTGCCTTAGCACTTAATTGCTATTTACATAATTTATTTGGGTGGCATAGTATACTTGGATCATACTATATGAATTGTGCTCAGTGGTGTACAGCTGCATATATTGAAAGGTTGAATTCTTTGACTAGCGAGTAGAGACTTTCACATATGTACTGGAGTGGGGGAGGGGGGAGTGTATTTAGCATGAGTTGAAATACCTGGATATTGTTTTGAATGCCAGATTAAGTGCTGTATAAGGATAGAGTGTGTACTCTGCTTTCATAATGGCCTTCTCCTGTATAAAGTCACCTGTTCATTTTTCTTAATAGGTGACAGATTTTGGCTTTGCCAAGAGAGTGAAAGGAAGGACCTGGACTCTTTGCGGGACTCCAGAGTATCTGGCACCTGAAATTATTCTTAGCAAGGTAAGAATAGCTTTTCTGGAGTTGAAATATGTAACACATGCAGATGGTTGTTTTGAACAAAACAAGGCACTGCTGTTTGTCTCCTTCAGTGATCTTGGATACTGTGAACATAATCTGATAATTAAAGGATCGCTATATGGTCAGGAACACAAACATGTATTCCTGACCCTATAGTGATAAAATCACTATCTGGCCCCACTTAAGTATAGTAAAATCTTACATTTCTTCCAGTCTGCTGTTGCTTGCTCTGCCCCTGATCTGCCTCCTTGGCTGACATAATCAGAGTGCTGGGGGACAAAGAAGGATGGTCTTGCTAAGGCTTTTGCAAGCAGACATCTGCAGCTTTTGCAAGCTATTAATAAATATGTAAAAATCCAGTGGAGTGTATAGTCCCTTTACTGCTATCTATAGGACTGTTTTTGCACTGCATGAGAGATTAACAGGACATAAAATTTACTTTTTCCCGTGGCATTCGAACTTGTCTTTCTGACGAAGTATGTGAGAAAATGTCTGAACTTTTTTTCTCCCTATGACAGGGGTACAATAAAGCTGTAGATTGGTGGGCCCTTGGCGTGCTGATATATGAAATGGCTGCTGGGTATCCTCCGTTTTTTGCCGATCAGCCCATTCAGATCTATGAAAAGATAGTATCTGGGAAGGTAAGTCACTGCCTCTCACCTCCACTTTCTCTTTATTCAGATCTTAATTCTCGACCAAATTTTACCTTTTCCATTGTGAACACTCCCAGCATTCAAGTGGTTGAACCCAGATTTAATCTTTCTTTAAATTTCTTTGTGAAAACATTTTTAGGTTTTTTTTGTTTTTGTTTTTTTAATCCATGCACTTTAAATATACAATACATGTGTGTTACTGATAAAGGATAGCCTCTCTCCACTTACTATGTCCCTCTCTGATTTAAACTCCTGCTCCCCATCCTTTTTATTGTGTCCGCTCAATCTCATCCAAAGCTCATTTTCAAAGTTTTGTTTTTTTTTTACTCCATTTATTTTTCTCGTTTTGACACACTTTTCTAGGTTCGGTTTCCCTCTCACTTCAGCTCTGATTTGAAGGATCTCCTAAGAAACCTTTTGCAAGTCGATCTTACCAAGCGATTTGGAAACCTGAAAAACGGGGTCACAGACATAAAGGGCCACAAATGGTTCAGTACCACGGACTGGATTGCAGTCTACCAAAAGAAGGTGCCAGTTAGGGGTTTGAAGGGCAAGAATAAATAAACTCCCTCCTAGTAGCAGACTAAAGTGTATCATAAGAGGGTAGATAGCATGAATTGTGTTAACTTTGTCTTGTAATTGGAGCCCTTAAAAGGATGTCCCCTTGCCCAAGAAAAAAATGTAAATCTTTGTAGATATACCTCAATGAAAGCATGCACGCTTATAATTATTATTTTTTTGTTTAATTGGGGATATATATCTCCCCTTCATCCCCAGCAAAGACTTGCCAAGGCAGGTGCTCTGAGCAATTGCTGCCTCTTAGGTTTATCGCAACTGAGTTAAACAATCAGGTAGTAACAGGATCTGTTGTCTGATTGACTGGTGGGAGTGTAACAAGTTTAAATTATAAAAGTGTCAATTTCTATTGTAATTTGCAAATTTTGTGATATGGGGGGGAGGGGGGGAGTTGAAACACTCTTCACACATAATGCACTTCAGCAATCTAAGTTCTCTAGGTTCTGGACTATCCTCTTAGGCCCAAAGTCGAAAGAAGAAAAGTCTGGTGAAATTGCAAGACTTATGAAAGGGAGATTATGATGTATGGTTCACGGTAGATAGGAGGGTCTGTGGTCTCTTGTTTTTATGGAAATTGTGTTTTGGTTTTTGTGTTTTTTTTTTTTGTTTGTTTTTTTTAAGCACAGTGCAAATAATTTTGAACCTTTTCTTGAATATTTTATTCAGATTTCTTCAGATCTCTCTCTTTACTAGAAACATATACATTTTATATTGTGGGTTTTATGTGGGCAATTAAGCAAATAGTAGGTATATAAGATTTCATTGGCATAATACTGAGTGAATTAATTTTAGGCATAAGCGTAACTCGTAAAGCGTAAATTACAGATGTAATCCGTATACATCCAACACATTTTTACATTGAGGCTAAGGAGAAAAACTATAGAACTTTCCAAATGGCATATTATTCTTTCTAACTATTTTGGATATCATTTTGCCATACACATACTTCAATTCTTGTCACTCTCTCTCCAACATCTCAGGTGGAAGCTCCTTTCATCCCCAAATGTAAGGGCCCTGGTGACACCAGTAATTTTGATGACTATGAGGAGGAAGAAATCAGAGTCTCCATCACAGATAAGTGCGCCAAAGAGTTCTCGGAGTTCTAATGAATGCATTTGGAGGAGCCATCACAGAAGACTCCTCTCATTCACAAGAGATCGATGAAGAGCGCGCCGCTGACAGGCACACAAACTTCTCCCTTCTTTCACACTCCCCCACCTCTCTACCTTGTATTAGTGGTGCAGATTTGAATTGGCGGCCATCTCATTTTATCCTGGATCTGGTGGTGCTGGTTTTGATTGGTCCTGGAGATCTCCCCCAGTCTCTCTCATCCCCTGCTTCCCCATGCTTTACTTTTTCTCCTTGACAGATAAGAGGGGCCAAGAGAGTTATTTAAATGTGACTGGTTCTTCAGGGGTTGAGTTAGAACTTTAGGGGCAGGGCATCATCCCTCAGTGATGGAGCTGTTATTTATGTGTTGTTTTTTTTAAAAACCATTTTCATGTCAAGAGCCTTGCTTACAGGTTTTTAATTATTAATTTACATAGTATATAAATATTGAACTGTTTTAACCTCAATTCTCACTTTAGCCCCATCACGTGCCCCGCATCTGTGTCATGGGGGACTTTTAAACTTAAAGTGCCAGTTTTTATTACCCCCCCCCCCACACACACACACACACACACACACACAATCACACCTCACTTTTTTTTCACACACATACATTTTGCCTCTGATAACCCTCTTCTTTCATCATTGACACCATAACCTTCTTCTGACAGGTCCTCTCAGCTGAGAACCATTCATCTGTTTGACCCATTAAAGAGAGGTGTTGTAGATATATTGTGAAAGTTATTCAACGTATGTGTCAGATATTTGTTAATATTCTTTAGGGCATTACTGGAGTGTAACAAACTTATCTGGAATGTCCTACTGCCTGTTATAAATTGGGATGCCCTATGTGATCATGGCCTCTGAATATTATTTAACTTGTAGACCATATTCTCAGTAGTGCATTGTTTTTGTTTCCCATGCCCTTTTTTTATATATATATATTTGGTTGTTTTTTGTTTTGTTTTTTTGCTTTTTTTTTTTTATATTTTCCCTGTTCTACTTTGGGGAAAACACCCAATTTATGGTTCTCTATAACTGCTTTAGAAGTGATAATTTGTATAATAAATACTCTCCCTAATGCCCTATGGTTGTTTAATTACAAAAGCACAGTCTAACTTAGTCCCCACTAGGCAAGAAGGCACTAGTTTTTTGGTACCCTGATGAAATTTTGGGAATCTAGTTTTATGTTTTGTGCTATGCCAGCTCTGGGATGCCTTAGTGTGCAATTTAAAGTCCTACCTCTTTGGAATGAAATGGGGGGGGGTTACAATAAGGCACTCCAGGCGTTATAGGGTTGAGGATCTTCATGAAATTCAGGGTCATAGTTACCAAACTATGTGTCTTTGTTCCAAAACCTCTTTAGAGGCAAAGAGATGAGAAAATATTTTTTTCCACCTCTGTAGCTTTCCTGGGGAGTAAAGGGAAGATCAGTAATGTCCTGCACAGCTTAACCATGTCAGAAAGCTGATGTGAATATCACTAGAGCGGAAAGTTGAGCAAGAATGAAAAAGGAATTGTCAGAGCTCCATCCCATACTATATAAATAGAAGTCCATTTAATTGTATTGTAACCCTGTAGTCCACTTATCAAAGTTGTACCTATAATTTTAAGTGGTATGTTTAGGTATAAAGGGGAAAGTCTCAAAATTACAAAGCCTGATCAAGGGTTCCCTCCAGTCTATCATGTGTTAGCGGTACTGTCTGTTTGATAGGATAAAACCTTAGAATTTTTGTTTGATTTTTTTTTTTTGTTTTGTTCTGTTTTTTCCTCCCTATGATTGATTTTTATATATATCTTGTCTTTAGGTAGAATGGAGGCGATTACTGGTTGTGGGTCACATTCCCACTTTGAGAATTAAGCATATTGAAAGATTTTATGATTGTTGGCTCTCAGCCCAAACTATACATTTATTTAATCTAAACATTTGTAGCACACTCTTAACCATTATTATGCTTTAAATTCCAAGTTAGACAAGCAATATTATGTATACCAATCAACCGTTCTTTGGCGATGTTGACAAGATTAAACTTCATATTTCAGAAAACTTGCGTGTCTGGGTAGAGTGGTGAGAGCTGCAGGTAACTTTCTCAGCTTACTGTGGTTCATACAGAGGTTTATCTGTGTGCTCAAGAAGCTACTGATCCAAACTAAACACTTAAAACAGTCTTCTGAATAAGCCCTGCCTATACTTTGTTGGATCTTTAAAATTAGACGCTAAAGACAATAATAGAATCTGTGGTGGGATTACTTTTTTTTTATATATATATATATATTTTTTTCCCATTTTTAGGTCACCTCTCTTTTATTTATTAGAATGTTCTGTGTAAAAGGCACAATTCTTGTGAAGGCGCGTAAAGATTGTTATATTGCATGTTCCCCCAGAGTCTGTTAAAGACATCAAGGGCCACTTGCTGGCTGTATTTGGAGCAATTGTTAAATTTATTGCATAGTGATCTATAATGCAATGTTATTTGTGCTAGTAGGTTCCTAGATATATGGCGTGTCACTGACTTACAAAATCGGAGTACATCGTGTTTCATAGGGCCACTCAAATCTTTGTGTGCCAAAGGGTTGAAAACGTTGTGGATTTCATCATCCCTGTGGCACTTAAGGTATTTGGGGAGTTTACTATGACTGCAGGTTGGACTTGTAAATCAGATCACTGTGCTCCAAACTCTTAAAGTAAAAACTTCTGCTTTAAAGGGGATGAGCTTCTTACAGCCATAGATGGTGGGAGAAGTGGGATCATTGTGGGGCAGATCTGTGAATTTCAGTTACGTTTTCACTTTAAAATAAATTCTATATATATAAATATATATATATATACACACACACACACTTCTTACATGTGTTATACTGTAAAACATTTGAGACAAATTACCAATAAAGTTTTGTTTAAAAAAAATCCAAAGTGTGTGCTTTTATGTATTCTAATGTTTTTTTCTCTACCTTGTACTTGGGATGCTCATTGATACTGCAAGTGCATCTGTTAACTTTATTTACATCCCTCCCAGTTGTACTGTGTGCAGGTAACTTTCTTCTTTCTTTCTGAAATTGTTTCTTGTTGGATTGAGACTTCATTGCTGCTGTTTTGTTCACTGCAATATTTTTTCCAGCACCTGAGTAATATCCACAATGCATATTAAGCAAAAGTAAGTTATGTATTTTTTTTTTTTTTTTTAATGTTCTTTAAAGCAGAACTGTAGAACTTGTAGACATGTGATAGTCTTGGTTTCCTCACCCCAGTACATTCCACGGGTTACTATGGAGTCAATAATGCAGCAGCTTTAACCCCTTAAGGACGGAGCCAAATGTACAAGTTGTGATCAAAACAAAATGTAAACAACCGACAGAATTTGACTCTGTCTGTTCAACTATAATTTACCTCTTTCTTACTAAGTGCACCCACACTTATTATATATCGGTTTGTTCAGGGGAAACAGGGCTTTCATTCCATATCAAACATTCATATATAGAACTCCGTTTTATATGAATAAAATCTAAAAAAGTTTAAAAACTTAAGAAATTTTGATATTTCTCAATTTCTGCATGTCAGTTTAACTGATAATGTCACAATACTGTTTGGTTTTACTGCAATAAAACATACATATTTGTATTCAGAAATGTCTCATGAGTAAAACAGTACCCCCTGTGTATAGGTTTTATGGTGTTTTTGAAAGTTACAGGGTCAAATATATGTCTTGTCTATTTATTTTTTACATAGAAATTTCACAGATTGGTTTGCTGGGCTTAGGTTGCCTTTGAGACTGTATGGCAGCCAAGAAATGTAAGTGACGCCATCATGGCATAACATTTGAAAAAGTAGACATCCCAAGGTATTCAAAATGGGGTATGGCCAGTCTTTTGTAGTAGCCACTTTTGTTCGTTTTTTTTGTTTTTTGTTTTCTTTCATTTTTTTAAATAAAAACTGTATTTTTGCTGATAATATTATGGTCAGTATATAGTTTACTGCCCTGAAACACTCCTAGTTCTGTTCAGTGATGTCTCACGAGCGCCATGGTACAACCCATGTATAGGTTTTATGGGGTTTCTGAATGTTAAATGGTCATATATACGGCTTATCCATTTATGCTTTTTCACAATGAAATTTGTCAGATTAGTTTGCTGTGTCTAGGCTGCATTTGAGACCCTATGGCAGCCAAAAAATGAAAATTACCCCTTAATGGCATACCATTTGAAAAAGTAGACATCCCAGGGTATTCAAAACGGGGTATGGCCAGTCTTTTGTAGTAGCCACTTGGGCACAAATGCTAGCCAAAGTTAGTGTTATGTTTTTTTTTTTGTTTTTTTTTGTTTTTGTTTTCAAATAAAAACTGTACTTTTACTGATAATATTAACGTCAGTATATAGTTTACTGCCCTGAAACACTCCTAGTTCTGTTCAGTGATGTCTCACGAGTGCCACGATACCCACCATTTATAGGTTTTATAGGGTTTTGGAAAGTTACAGGGTCAAATATCCGCTTATCCATTTTTGGTTTTACACATTGAAAATGGGCAAAGCGATTTTCTGGGTCTATCTTGCCTTTGAGAGAGCATGGCAGCCTGGGTAATAACATTTCCACTATTATGGCATACCATTTTCAAAGTCAGGCAACCCAGAGTATTTCAAATGGTTCATTTTAAGATGTTTGATCTAACCACTTTATCAGAAATGAAGGGCCCTCATAGCGGTAATAGTTTGTGCTTTTTTCCACACATGAACTCACTTTTCACAGGACATTTCCTATTCCTGATGTGAGTTATTGCAACAAAGCCTCACTTTTATTTTTTTTTTTTTTTTTACATTGTCTCCTGAATATAACAGTACCCCCATGTACCGGATTTTCTGTTTTTTGGGGTAGTCACAGGGACAAATATATTAGATGTCCATTTCAAAGTTGGAAATTTGACAAAGTGATTTGCTGGGCCTATGTGGCTATCTAGAGAGCATAGCAGCCTGGGTAATAACATTTCCACCCTTATGGCAATCCATTTTCAAAAGTATGCAACTCAGAGTATAACAAATGGCAGACCTTGAGATGTTTGGTCTAGCCATTTTAACAGAAATGATGGGCCCATGTAGCAATTTCTACTTTTATTTTTGTCTTTTTAATCACATAAATTGCATTTTCACTAGAAATGTCATAATCCTGGTATTAGTGCACTAAAATCTCAGTATTTTGATTTAACACGGTCTTCTGAATATAACGATACCTACATGTACAATGTTTCCAGGTTTTTAGTATATCACAGGAATAGTACAGTACCCCCAAGTACACTTTGATCTGAAGGCAGAGAGAGGCAGATAGATCTTTGACTCAGATACTGTAGCATTAACCCTGTGATTAGTTTTTTGCTTTTTTTGTGAAGGCATATTTCAAGTACTACAAATGTAGAGTTGTTTGGTGTAGCCACTTTAGAATGGCTAGCATAAACAGGGACATGCCAAGGTCAGGGGAATCCAGAAGTGAGAGTCGGAAAAACAAGCCAATGGGTCAGTACAGGCAGCTAACGAAGCGTAGTCAGGACAAGCCAAGGTCAGGGAATCCAGGGAAATCAAGAAAACAAATTGCCAAAGTACCATACAGAGTGATTTAGTAGTTCAGCTCTGTATGGTAGACTTTGAAACAGTCTGTTATGCAGAGGACGGGTAGAGATGGACAGGAGGGGCAATAATAACTGGAGTCCTTTCGGACTCCTCTTTTCCAGCAAACACGGCATTTTCGTTGGGGTGACCTGATAAATACGAAACGCCCATGTATATCCAGATTTTGATTCACACAATTTATAAAAATTTTACTCCGTATCGGGACCGTTTAGAAGGGATATACTGTTTAAAAAGTAATCTACCCTTAAATTTCATTAAGGACTCATCTGTACAAATATTTTCTTCAGGGACATAATTTTGGGAGAATTTGTCTGACAGTTCAATTAGGGGCCGAATTTTGTACAGCCTGTCAAACAATGGGTCGTTTCTTGGGGGGCACAGTGTTTTGTCGTTAAAGTGGAGGAAATGCAGCAGCTGCTCATTGCAATCCCTCTTCATAACCCCACGGAAAAGAGGGGTAGCCAGGATGGGGTGCTTGTACCAGTAGGACCTAATACTCTGCTTTTTGACAATGCCCATAACTAGAGTTAGGGCCCAAAATTTGCGCATTTCTGCGAGATCCGTGGGGTGCCACATATTACGCCTATTGTTATGTGACCCCGGATTCACAGTCAGATATTGGTTGGCAAATAAATTGGTTTGCTCAACCAATAACTGAAATACTTCCTCTGACATGAACAAATCAAAATATTTTAGGGGCTCCCAAGCATCCACCATAACAGTGATGCCAGGGGTCGCCGTAAATGGGGGAATATCTGGGGCCGTCAGGTTTGGGGGCACCCAGTCTCCTTCTGGCATTGGGCTTGCTGAGCGTCCTCTTGGTGGTGGTGGGGCACCATCACTAGAGGAGTCAGTCATAGCCTCAATGTCAGATGCAATGATAGTGTCACTGTCTTGCAGAGTGTCACTATCACTGCCTGCCAGAATGGCGTACGCCTCCTCGGCAGAGTAGCGACGTGCCATTCTAGGGGGGACTACTGAATAATTCTAAGGGGAAAATTACAAAATTCCTACCTGCCTAACACCCTGCTACCCACCCTCAAAAACTCACAAAAAATAAAATAAATGTACTGATCGCAGTTTAGGCTGCTGCGACCAGTACAGAAAGGGTTAATTTTTATTTTATTTTTGCCTAGGGCGGCAAAAAAATCACTGATCAGAGAGCCCTCTGATCACAGTGATCACTGGTACAATACTGTACAGTAGCGATACTGTACAGTACAGTGATCACGGCAGCGGGGAAAGGGTTAAGGGTGATTTGGGTTGCTGCGGCTGACAAAGGGTAAAAAAAAAAATTTGACCCTAAAAAAATAAAAATAGTACAAAATGTACTAAAATCCCTAAACAGGCTGATCACAGTTTTAAATGCTGTGACCAGCACTGGAAGGGTTAAACATTTATTTTATTTTTTTAAATTTTACACAGGCTTTTCTCCAACAGGGCTCTCCAGCAACGATCTCTTTGCCTCTCTCTCTCAGATCGAAGTGAGGTGAGGAAAAGGGCAGAGACAATGTGTCAGCCAGTGATTTAAAATCATTGGCTGACACATTGTAACAGTGATCGCAGTGACTGGCTGTCACTGCGATCACAAACTGCAGATCACTGCGGATTGGCCACAGGGGACCTGCCTGGGTTGTCAGGCAGGCCCCCCCCACCGTGATCTGCAGTTTGGGAGGGATCGGGGCAACGTGGGAGGTCCTAAACGCCGCGGCGTGCTATGCCGCCGTGAAGGCGTTTAAGCCCATTAACGCCGGGACGGCATAGCACGCCGTAACGGCGTTAATGGGTTAATAAAAATCTTTTTTTTTGAAAGTGACCACTTTACAATCCCATGATGTTCTACAGCAAGGCTGTGTACATGCATACATTGCCTGTACAGCATTGCAAGTGTTAACTAGTTTAAATACTTTCCCTGGAAAGGCATGTAAATAAAAGCCGTAAAGTAAAACTTTTTTTTTTTTACAATCTTTATTTATTGATTTTTTTTTTTTTCAGTTTGAATGGGATTACAGTAAGAGAAAGGAAGTACATAACATATCAGGTGTTAAGCTGTACAGAGTCTTGAGCAAACATTGCCAGGAATAGGTTATACATTATGCAATATACCTTAGGTGTACGTCAGGGCAGATTCTGGGCATGGACATAGGATTTGGTTCATCCTTTCACTGACTCCTAGTCTTATACAGGGAGTGCAGAATTATTAGGCAAGTTGTATTTTTGAGGATTAATTTTATTATTGAACAACAACCATGTTCTCAATGAACCCAAAAAACTCATTAATATCAAAGCTGAATA